TGATTATGAAAACATTAGAAAACTTCTACGAATCAGTTCGAAGACCGATAGAAGTCTTAAATAAGTTGATATGATATAAACGCAAAAAAGAAAACTACGTTGACCAGTAATGAAACCGATTGCGTCTCTGTCTTAAATTATATTCTCCTGATAATTATAACAGAAGCAACATCTGATTGAAAACTTTTAAACTTCAATGAATATTATTCAACTAATTTGAAATTTCGATCAAAGTAAGCTCAACATTCGAATATTTTAAGAGAATCATATTTTTAAATTTTCCTATTAAATAAATACTCATACCACTTGATTAGCTTTTGTTGTTTGATCTAATTGTTGTCTACTCATTAAGACTTTATCTAATTCTTTAACACATTGCTGTCGATATTTTTCTTCAATAGTCGATCTTTGAAGACCGATTAATTTTTTCCATGAACTTTGATTTATATTTGACAATAGTTCGGATTCTTCATGTTCTAATTCTTTACGTAAAACATTTTCCATAAATTTAGTAGCTGATTCCCATTGTTGTTTATCTGGTACATTACGATCTTGTAATGCTTGACTTTGTATAACTCTCTATTCAAACAGAAAAATAAATCTTCATATATGATAAATAGTATTTTTCAATACAAGTGAATCAAGTGCTTTAGAATCCCATTGATGTCTTGAACGACATGCTTGAACAACATGCATTTTTAAATCATTAGTTATGGAATCATATGAACTTTTTTTTTGTTCACGTTCAATTAATCCTTGAAATTCATCAAGTAATACAAGATGACCAATATGAACACATTGACGTGGTAATTCTTTTTCAGCCCATTGTTGTAATTTAACATCAACAGTTGTATTGAAACCACTAGAAAAAAAAATATTCTAGTAAATTGTTTTTTTTTCTGTGAAACACAATCTCAAAGCAGTGTTGAAGTATAAAGATAAAAAATTTGTACCATCCTTTACAGTGCTAAGAAGAGATTATCACAGATCATGACACAGAGGTGCAAAATCTGTCGTCGAAAACGAATACTTTCCTCAAACTAAAGTGAAAAGTTGAGTTTCCTTTTCACTCACATATTCGAAGAAAGCGAAAGACAAATCGATCTACTTAGCATACAGAAAGTTAATATAAAAAAAATAATCTTTATTAATCATCAATGAATAGAAGCAGCTTTTATTCCAAATAACGGGTGGCCCAGAATAAATGAATGTCTCAGTATTTTGATTATAACTTTTTTTCTTTTTGATCTTTAGAGCTGCTTGTTTTACCAAAAGATGCGCCGTGAAATTCTCTACAAAACCATAATTAAAGTTATTTCTGTAGAAAGTTCAGGAGAAAAGCTAAATGAATATTATTCAAAACATAAAAAGTGCCCAACTTTCAAAGCTAGCGAGTGTCCCATGCATGCTTGGTATGTGGATACCGTTTTTAATTATGAAGTAGGGTGCATTTTAAAAACAAAGTACACCATAAGGTGCAGCGTGAAAAGTTCTACAAGCTACATTAAGAACTTTATTTTATGAATGCACTTATTATTTTCTAAATGATCAGAATTATGTGCGACCAGTTTTCTACTCTGCAAAAAAGACCATTTTTTGGTCGCACAGAATTTTGCATATTTTAAAAACAAAAGATGCATGTCTATAAAATAACTTGTTCTCTGTAAGTGGTAGAGCTTTTCACACTGGATCTTGTGGCATATTTAGTTTTCTTTGAAAAGAATATATTAGCTGATACAAAGTTGAAATAAGAAAAACGAATTCGTATTGTACCAAAAAACTGCTCTTGTTCGCAGAGTCGAAAACTGATCTCACAGAATTTTGATTATTTTGAAAACAAAAAGTGCATATATAAAATAAGGTTCTTAATGTAACTTGTAGAGCTTTTCACGCTGCATCTTACAGTATGCTTTGCTTTTAAAATATGTCTACTAGAGGAGGATAAAAAGAGAGATACGAACACTAGTCATTCGTAGAACACCTGTTAGCTTTGAAAGTTGGGCACATTTTATGTTTTGAATAGTATTCATTTAGCTTTTTTCCTTTATTTTCTACGGAAATAAGTTTAGT